TGGGTTTTCAACCTTGCGAGCTCAGTTTTTCTTATTTCAAATTTTCTGTGCTCTAACTTTTGCCTAGGTCACCCTTTCGGGTTTTCGGCCTAGCGAGCCACTCAGGGATAGTATTTTTTCAACTTGTCCATGTTGATCGGCTGGGAGAACTCTAGGCCATCTAGGTCCATAAGAACGATAGCTCCACTCGACCAGATGGATTTGATGATATAAGGACCAGTCCAATTAGGTCTAAACTTGCCCCTAGGGTCGTAGATGGGAGCTTGGTTGTCTTTGAGCACCAAATCCCCTTCTTTCAAATTCCTGGACTTAACCTTCATGTTAAAAGCCCTGGCAATTCTTCATTGATAACCTTGGACGTGACACAGTGCTTTCAGCCTTCTCTCGTCGAATAGCATGAGTTCTTCGAATATGTTCTGCTACCAATCTACCTCAGCTATCTAGTATTCAACCATTACCCACAGTGACGAAACCTTAACTTCAATCGGCAGAACAGCCTCCATCCCATAGACCAAGGAATACGGAGTTGCCCCAGTAGAAATTTGAATTGATGTCCGGTAGCCCCAAAGAGCAAATGGCAGCTTATCTGGCCAGTCCCTGTAAGTTTCCACCATCTTCTGCAGTATGTGCTTGATATTCTTGTTGGCGGCCTCAACAGCTCCGTTGGTTTGCGGCCGATATGTTGATGACTTATGAAAAGCCACGTTGTACTTCTCCAACAAGTCGATCACCTCCTTCTTGAAGTGGGAACCATTGTCTGAAATAATCTCATTCGGGACTCCATAGCGATAGATAATATTGTTCCTGATGAACTTAGCTACGTGCAATGCCTTCAACACTGCGTAGGATTGGGCCTCGACCTATTTTGTAAAGTAGTCTATCGCTACCAGGAGATACTCATGCCCGTTCAACCCCTTCGGAGTAACTACCCCAATCACATCAATCCCCCAGACTGAAAATAGCCATGGCGAAGTCATGTTGTACAGCTTCGACGACGAAATGTTCATGCGGTTTGTATGGATCTGGCATTTGTGGCATCGCCGAACAAAGCCAATACAATCCTCTTCTATGGTTGACCAGTAA